TTAGAAAAATATGAACCAATGCCATTCCAAAAAGGGCCTTGTTACATCCCGTCACCCATGACATCCATGGTGGGAGTTGCCTATGAAAATACTTGAACGCCAGAGCTATAATATGGCAAATACATTTAGTCGATACATTTTTGGGAGGATGTTGAAGAAAAGAACAATTTCACTCTTGAAAAACCCATTTTTCTATCCTCTGTTTGAGTGCATTAAAATTGAGCTTTTTCAAAAGATAACTGATCAGCCTCAGCAACTGAAGACATTTTTTCTAATAATTTGGTCCCACAAAATGCTGACAGTGGTCAGAGTGACGCCTCAGTAAAATCCCACAAACCAGTTCCTTTGCCAGCATAAATAATCAGGGACTGAGCTATAAATAGCATGGGTATAAAAACTCTTTCATACAGCAAAGTCATTAAACAGGCAGTACCTCCAATCTGACACCCATCTCTCTGATCAGATGTGACATAAGTCGATGGAGATCCAGGAAAATTTCTCAAATATTATATGTTACAAAATGCACTCACACTGATGGATATTTATGATAATTTCTTAAAAGTTAACTGACATTAGTAATCCAAAATACACAAAATCGGCCGAAAAAAACACCCTTTTCTTCAGGTTCAAGTTAGTACAGTTCCCAAAACTTGCTGTCACAACGCAGAGACTTTTGTTTGGCAGCTTGCTCCTTGATTACAACCACTTCATGCTCGTGGCAACACAGACATATCCACAGAGAAAAGATCACAGCAAATCACACAACTCTGCCCACATCATCACAGTCAGTCAGCTGTGTGTAGCTGCTGAAATCCCCTCCAAACTTTGATGAGAAAAAGAAAGAACGAGGCCTGATCACTACAAGTATGAGACCCACCACATTTCATTTGGTCAGGTTTAACAATCTAAGAGTTCCATCAGAAATTTTGCAAACTTAACTCCACAACAGACATCCACCACGACCTAGTACCTCAGTGGCATTTACCCAAGTAATTGAGAGAAAATGAATCATCCAATATTTCTTGTAATGTAAGAAAATGTCAGACAAAGGCAGCTTTACACAGAAGCACATTCCCAAGCTTATTTTCATACTTCATGATGTCATGAAGGAAGGCTGAGAATGACTTTAACATCAACCAAGGTGTAACTATCATAAACGAACATTGTAGCTCATCACCAATACAAATGCATGTAAGACTATATTAAGAAATTGGGGTAAAATTAAGGGGGTACATTTACCGACTCCTGGCCTGAAACTTGCACAGTAGGCCAATATTCTATTCTTTAGTATTTCTGATAACAGACAGCAGGATTGTAAGTTGCACAGTACATGAAATTCAAACATTTAAAAAAATGTAAAAGACCGGATGTCTGGCCAACATAGATTAAATGAATAAAGCAAATATTACTGAAAAGAAAAATAATATAGAAGAAATCTGATTGTACACTTTAGACGGAATGATGAGAAAACAGTTGAATAATCAAATACAAAGCAAATAATTACACAGCAATTCAAACAACAGACACAAAAGTAGCCCACTTTCCTAAAATATTATCAATCTTGTGCCCTCTGCACCTGTCAATATGATTCTATCAGTAACACTGTTCAAACCTACGCTGAAAAGCTAAATGACCTCCAAAGCTTTTCTCTTCCTTTCCTATGAAGCTGGAGTAAAAACAGATTCTCCATCCTTGAAACTACATCAGTTGTTTTGGAGCCAACATAGTCTGTAAACCTCTGAACTAATTAGAATTGACTGATAGACTATCACCACTAAGCCTTGCATTCTGTCTATACTGAAAGCAAAAGTAGAACACGCTAAGGGTCTATACGTTAAATACCCATCCAAAAATCTTCGTAGAAATATGGGTGCACCAAAGAATTGACAGAGTTCTGGAAAACAACTCGGAGAAAATAAGGAGGGGTCAGTAAATCAAGCTAGAGTCAAAGCAAGAGAACAAACAGAGATAAAAAACATTGGAAAGAAGAAAGACTTTTCAGCAGTGCACTCTGATCAGTACTGGATCAGACAAGAGTTCCATTTAAAAAGAAATTAAACAAAAGAAAACCCACCAAAAAATACGAATTGAGGGAGATCTGAAGATCAGGACAAACATGTCTTGTCTTCAGGAGATTTAACACGTCAGTTTGGTAGAGTTTTATGGTGCTCACAACTGCACAAGATCATATGTGTACACTGGACTTTGATTTTCATGTATCCAAAATAATGTAAAACAGAAGTCTTACAAGTTTAACAATAGAAATAGGAATACCTTTCACTCCAACAATGAGACAGATGTGAAAGTTCTCATCCTCTAATTTCACATTAAACAAAAATCTGTTGACCAATCACCAACAAAAGCACATGCATAAAAATGCAGTAAGTACAAAGCCACATCAAAAGCCAGGGTAATATTAAGAAAGAAAAAAATCACACCGTACCATTTTGTATCACATATAAATGCAATTAACTGTAAATGAGATACTCATAGAATGTACACATACTTAAGAAAGAACAAAAGTACATTTGAAACTATGTTAATCAAAACACATAGACAGCAACCTCACCAAAGTCAGCAAAAATTCAAAACATCTATAGACTACATCGCACTTTTTCTCATCAGGAATCATATGACAAAATACGGAACAAGACATGCATGGACCAAAACAGTAAAAGCTGTTTGGCACAACAGGTCTAGGGGGGCAAAAAGATCTTCCAGAGCAATCATTGAAGCCACAGTCTGAGGCACAAAAACAATGAAGTCATTACAGACAAAACTAGAAAAGATTTAACATAGAACTATATATATATATATATATATTAATCATTCTCAGAGAATTAGGAAGTTATCAAGTCTTTCACATTAAAATGAAGTGTTAATGACACAGGAGTAAGAAAAAGAAAGCAATACAATTACATAGGCTTTCTAATCTAAACTTAAGGTTCTCTGAGAGTATGCTCCATAACTTACCTAGACAAGAAATTGCATAGAAATAATTTAAATCCATGATCACAATCTCTCCCCACTGCACAAGAATTAAAAAAAGGATCATTTTTTCACATAATGCCTAACAACAAGATGAAATGTTCAAAGTGATTTACTCTACTATGTTTGGTAAATAATTCAATGTACGTGTACCAGTAACATGAACTATTAACAAAATAAGAGAATTTCTCAAGCAGTATTAACCTTCTGCAGCCGTCTTCTTCCATTTCTTAAACCAATAGGTTCCTTTTTTCAACACGAGTTTTAGCTGTGCAATCTAAGAATCAAAGACGTTTAAAAACTCCTTGAAGAGAAGGTCACTCTATATTTTCTTTCAAGACAAAGAAGACTGTGACTATTGCCATTGACTCAGTAAAGTACATAAAGTAGCACATTCACATAAAATTGTGAAAATGTACTAGAAGTATTGAGTGCTCAGTATTACACTCCATCATACATCACTTTTCAAAATGGCGTATGGCAGAATCTTACACTAAGCAGTCGATTTGATGAGACATCCCCAAAGCCTCAAGACACAGTGGCTAGCAGTGCACAGAAAGGAAAACTGATGACTCATTACTGTTACCACATACACACATACGATGAGATAGAATCCACTGGGACAATCATTTTAATGGTAAGAATTACCATTTTTTTCCTTACATTAGGCCTACTTTTAAAAATTCAGTCAATTACATTTACGAAAAGCAGTTTAGGCCAGAGTATCAATGAACAAACTTACTAATGTCCAAAATCAAAGAGGAAAAAGCTTCTGCTCATTTAAGGTTACTATTACCGATATCTAAAAAAAAATTCTATTTGAGTCTACAGTACTGTGGGGAAAACCACAGCATTGTCTTTGTTGCCGTCCAAAACCCAGAAAGCAAAGACATGGAAAGAAATGATGTAGACATGGAAAGGCCTACCAACAAATTTTGAAAACCATGCCTGAAACTAAATATGTGAGACAGCGTGGTGGAATCAGGCTCTCGTCAAAATACTCAAAGTGAAGAAACCTGCATTTTTCCACAAGTTTGTGAATTTTTATCACATTTTTATTATTTGACCCAACATCTTTTATGTTCATTAAAAGAACTCATTTCTGTGTGGATTTTTCTGAAAAATATTGATTAAAGGAACAAAAATAGTAAATTTTCAGTTACCCCGACTCTTAAGCTAAGGAAATAACTTATCTTTGGCAGCCATTTTCTCACTAATTCTACCTCTGAAAACAGGTGACCCCAGCTCCTTCAATTGAAAATATCTCGACTTGTATTCAAGATAAACGGCTATTTTTTTCATCCAAATAAAGACAAGTGAAAAAGCTTTAAGATGATTCCAATAACTCTACATCCCCAAAAATTGACGAGCGCCTGATTCCACCACGTCCTGACACATATGTCTTGAAAATGCAAATTTGATTTGAAAGATGCTAAAGACAATCTTTCTACTAGCACTTCAACAATCATAATATATGTAAAATTTAATAAGGCAGCAATTTGAACCATATGGAGCAATTCATCACGACATTGTCAAATGAAAGCAATTTTGATTTTAGTCTGATTCAGGACTCAAACTTATTGTGAGAGCCCACACTTTGTTCTAAACAAAAACGATGGATAGCAATAAATGTAGAACTAAACCCAAGAATACACAAGGATTTTTTAAAAACACACAAGTTTTTTTTAAAGAAACTGTCTTAGACACTTTACTTTCTATTCCATATTCCTGGTAAAGTATGAGCAGGTGATATAAATGTAGCCAGTTACGGAGCAGGTGTAAAAAAGATAGACACGACACCTAGCTTTTTCATGCAGTCAAAGCAAAACGAAAAAAAAAAAAAAAAGAAATTCTTTGCACCCAGCTAAATGTTTTCAGCCTTTTCAGGAACTATAAGTGGGTCAAAAGGACATGGGAGGCTTTTTCCCCCCTAACAAATCTTTAAAAAAAAAAAAATTCTTAGATTTACCCATATAGTCCTTCACTCTAAACAAATACTCCTTTTGATTTTCTTCTTCATTTTAAAATACAAGGGAAAGTATGTAACATTAGTATAGAAACATCAAATGCAGCACATGATGTCCTATGTAAAAGGCTTTGGAATGTGAGAGGATCATATTCTCCAAGCATGTACATGAATTCCGTAGTATAAGTCATCAAATGACATTTTTAAAAAAATCCTTCATCAAAGAGTTTTAAATCAGTAGTACAATCCAAGAAGCACTGGTGGACTTTCTTCTCCTGAACACTATCATAGTATAAAAGTACTAAGCTAAAACAAGACTCCCCTCTGTTAGTAACTCCATAAACTTATCCCATTAACATTACTTTCAATTTAATATGCCAAAGGATGGGGAAATCCGTTTATAGATTTATCTACTGTATGATTCTACAATGAAAAATTAATATGCAACATTTTTTGCACTGTTTTTAATTTTGATTAAAGAACAAAAAACAAACAAAAGCAAGATCAGTTCAAACAATCTATAATTTAAGGAAACAAATGCTTGACATAAAAGATCTATCAAACATCTACAACTCGAATCAAGTATACAGCAACTGCGAGTACAGTTTTCTTTACAGCGACTATAAGCCTTGAAAACTCAGTAAAAAAAGAAGAAAGCACCATACTAAAAAGTGCAACCAAAAGAAAACATAAATCTCATTGCCTGTTTGCCTGAGGTGTGTTTTATTCTCCAAAGACAATGAAAGGCACAATGAGTTACCTTGGCAATAAAGTAAAACAATGACATGAAAACCCTCCTGAAATGGGCATAAAAAACCACCAATACATACATTTCAGTTTCAGCTTCATATTTAACCCCAAAAAATTGTAAAGTTTGATTTCCAAAAACAAGGATAATTTATGATGATGACTGATACAATTTTCCAATGTTGACCATGAAAACAGATGTATGACAATGACAGTAAGCGACCAGTCCCCATAAAGTTACATATCACAAAAATGAGTTACCATATCACACAGAAGACTACTAACTTTTTGTACACATGTATATGGATACGATAATACAGCATTAAAAAACAGTAGCATGAAATACATGTATGATGCGTCAGTATCAAAGCACTACTACTACCCACACACTCAAGACAGATTATGTACTGTAAGCACTCCTTGTTGCATGTTTAGTTTTTTAGTTTCAACAGCAATGCCACACGACCACATCTTTGTGGTACTAAACTAGCATAGATGACAGTGTTGAGCAATAGCTAAAAGTAGCTAACAGTAAGTACACCAAAGTTGCCTGTGTATGCACAACAGAACATAGATGGTAACACAAGCTTATAGGAATAATGCCATCATACAATAATATACAAAACTTTTCTCACTACATTGAAGGGTTAAAAAAGTTCATCCTCTCGCACTCAACATTTACAAGAATTCATCACCTTCATCTGAAATAGACCAAATAAATTACACCTCAGAGGTAAAAGTATATTCTTAAATCTGTTAAACTTGAACACTGGGACTCTTCCACAAAAATACCTTCAACTGCACCAAGAACTTGCATGACTGCACAAAGCATTTGCATAAGTAGATTCTGGCACTGTCATCAGCTTCCAAGGAACAACCCATCTGTTGCAAACAGAAGCTCTCTGTCTCTCTCTTTCACTCTCTCTCTTTCGTTCATACTTCACTGATGCTACACTCAGGGTTCGGACATATTTCTATACATATACTTCTCACGACTGGATTCCATAATGAGAAGTTTTTGATTTATTCTAAATGTCTTACACCCACATCTACATAATCCAGATCATTACAAGGCTAGCTGTTTTTGCCCCTGTCGCACAGATAGAGATACTAGATAAAGTAACTACCTAAATCAGGAATCAATCTCACATCTTCTGCAAGCAATGGCAAAAAGCCTAACCACTCCACAACAGACAGTGTTGCATTTTTTAATATATGAACACTTCACCTTGCAGCTTGACAAGTTACTAAAAAACATAATCATTCAACACTTGTTTTACACTTCTCTAACCACTGTAACAAGATGTTAAAGCTGAATTATGTTTGACAATAACAGAGCTTGCAAAACAAAGTATTCGTAAATTTAACAACAAGCGACTTGAACTCAGTTCAAATCTGGAAAAAAAAAAAAGCCACACTGAGTGACCTTACAAGTAGAGACCATGAGCATAAGACGTATTTACAGAATAATTGAATAACAGCATGATGAATATATCTTCTTTTTCCAAAAGCAGAATTAACTTTGGGACTGAATGATCATGACTTCTCATCTGTCTGTCTTGAATAAAGCGCACAATTTCATCAGATGAAATGACACAGCTTCCTTCCAAGATTATCTAGACAAGGTATCCTCTCCTGCATCACTTCCCTTGCAATCAGTCTCTAAACATTCTAAAGAATACTTAAAGTGGTGGAGCAACATTCCATTACCAGTTCATTCTCTGAACATGTATATCCTCAAGTATTTTAAATACATGTGCATCCTTTCATGAACACACATTTATAGGCACATACCCAAACACACACATACACACACACACATATACACACATCCAAATAGTTAAGTCAGTCACACACACACACACACACACACAAAACATTGGTTGATAAAAAGTACAGGAGAGCTCGAATGGCTATGGCAGGTAGAGCCCTCTGTGCGTCTGCACGGTGTGCACTAAAGCCCCTCAGGATCATAGCGAGCTGTCTCTAAAGCCACCTAGACTCCACTGCTGGTCCTCCGCACCCGTACACTTGCCTGGGCACAAGAAACAAGAGAGAAAAGCATTTAGGGGTATTACTCCAGTTGTTACTAACACTCATTGTTGAGCTTTTGTTCATTGTCAGCCGGCACAACAATAGCTACATTTAGAGATAGGAACAGAACAAGACAGCAAAGTCATTGTAAATGTGAAAGGATTATTGCTTACATTTATTCTGTAGCAACAAACCAACAAACTGAAACAGGAACGGAAAGTTAAGACAACAAGTACCATCTAGACTTTAAAACATATTCAGATCTAAAACCACTGCAAGCAACAAGAAGAGTGGATGTGGATATAGTTTAAAAGTACAACGTTTCTTTGGTCCACCATAAAGCAGATCAGACGATATAAGATCACCGATTTAATTTTGGTCACGAAGGTAGACTGGGACTGGCAGTATATAGTTTTATGTCTTTGAAGCAGTTTACAGACTAATGAATACATAAGGTTCATTTCACCACAAACCAAACTTTTCATATCTTAAACATATAAAAGGGGGTTCTTGTGGGCTAGAATAGGACCGTGGTTCGAATTTGGATACCGATGGAAAATTTTCTCCTTTCACATCCTTTCCTGCTCTCTAACAATGTTCTGTCTTCTGCTTATGTTTCCACTTTCTGCCCCCACATACCCATCTCCTTCGCCCCCTCCACTGGGCTCCTGACTTTTTCTGAAGTCTTTCCACGGCTTATCCTTGGCTCCTTCTTACTGCAGTTTTTCAGTCACACCCCTGATCATATGGTTGGAAAAATCTACCTAGCCTTCTCGGACAAGGGCCAAAAATCTTGAATGTCCCGTGTGCAAGTTGAGCATGTTAAAGATCCCTTGGAGGTCCAAAATCAATAAGAGTAGGCTTCGGCCGCCACCTGGGGCAAAACTCAAAACTTCCTACCAAATGAAAATGTTTTGTGTGTCCCGCACGCTCATATGACCTTATGCAGTTGCGAGCACCGTAGAACACTTACCAACCCCCCCCCCCCCAGAAAAACATATAAAGTAAGGCACTCTGCTAACCGGTTTAATTGTGCTGAAGGGTTTCAATATCATGATTATTTGATTCAACACAACCCTGACAATGACAGGGTTCAGATCCACAAAGATGTGGAGTGAGGAGAAGCTTGTAACCTGTCTTTGATTCTAACCTCAAATCATAAAGGTAAACATCTGTTTGTTCTTTGTGTAAAGAGATGCACATTGACACAATAAGTCATTAGTGCAAGGAAAAAGAAAGACAGACAGCAAGAAACAACCAAAGGAAAGAAAAGAAGTAGGACCTATCAGTGATGTCCTCCAACAATTCCACTAAATATTATTCATAGATTATTGGGGGTTTTCTTAAGGTAAAAAAGTACATAAGAAATTACTAGGAAGGCATGTTCAAACTTGTAAATAAATTTCCATCGTCATTTCTCCTGCGTTTGATCTGAACCATCTCAGTCAATTTCTAAACACAACCGAGCATGCTAAAATAGCTGCTAAAAGGTATCACTTTTCCATTGGAAAAAAAAAAAAAGCTCACCTAAGCTGGGAACATCCTTGTCCCGACCATGCCCTTTACCTAAACACTGGTCGGTGTTGATATGACGGAGAATCTTAGTCTGAAAAGGAAAACAAAACAAATGAAGTACTAAAAACAAAAGCTTATTCTCAGGGTCCACTAAATTTAGAGGGCTTGATGAAAAGTATCAAATGCATGGAAGTAACCTGCTTTACTGCAATAAGGGATGAATGCAATTTACACCAAAAATAATAGCCAATATTTCCATTTACAGGGGAAGATACCAATTTTTAAAAAATTAACTACTGATTGAGTATTAAAAGAATGGTCCAATTGACAACTTGCACCCCTAACAGACCGCTACAGATCATATATATTACCACAAAACAAGGTTGAATTTTAAAGTTCTACACCTTGATTTAGGCATTGACGTAGAGAGAGGAAAAGTGTAACTATGTTGCCACCGTCTTCTTCATGGTTTTCAAAATAATTTCTCATATAGGCATATGTAAACTTCTTTACCCTTTGAATGCACATTTTATTCCGGGCAACTATCATCTTTGAAGAGCTTTAGTGTAAACTTATCTTCTAACATTCCTACAAACATTTGATCCCCATTGTTATTCACACTCTTCAACTCTTGTATCTTTTTCTTTCTCAAATACATATTGATTCTCTTATTCACATTTACTTAATTCCCTCAACCCCCCAGATAAACAGACATACAGATACACACAACTCATGTACCGAATCAACTGCATGCACCAAGTGAATCATGCAGTCACTTCTAGTAAAAACCACATACAACAGTAATTAAAAGGTAGATTTAGAAGACTCACGGATACCACAAACGCTATTCAACAAAACAAATACCACTGGACAGATGAGATCAAATAACAACAATGAAAACGAACAAGAGAAGCTGAGAACACAGACGGAACAGTCAATCAAGGTAACAACTGAACTACATAGCCTGCACAACTACAGAAACATAGCCAGGTAACAAAAAGTCAGGAAGCATGCACAAGGAACATTAAAGTGATCTACAGCGGGCAAAAGACAAATAAAAACATGCAAGATCCAGGTAGCCTAAAACATAAATTATTAAATGTTCCCAAATACCCAGGTGATTAATTTATGAATAAATAGATCAATCTAAATTTATTATTCTTTTTAATGAAAACACAATATCACAAGATCCCACTATGGTTCAGGGACGACCATTTCTACACAATCCTTTAGACCTTCATATGTAATTTCATAATTTAGCAAATTTCAGATGACAAAATGTTGCATTGAGATGACATCTCACATAAACAAACAATTTTTAAAAACTTCTAAACCGAAAAGTAAAATAACAATTTAACTTTGTTTCCCCAACAATCCTGTCCACAAAGTACCTGCCATTTCTGGTAAAAACACATTAAAAACTGGACTTATTGTAAAATATTTTCTAACATAATGTGGGAACCTTTTCATGAGGAACAACAGAATAGTAACAATTCTGATCCAGTAGAGTACCTAATATAACCGAGTATTAAAGTTTCCATATTTTCGTCTCAGCCCTTTCACACTCATTTTGCGAAATGTTCGACTTATGTCTGGGCTTGATTGGCACTGACACAAACATTTCAATCTTTCAGAAAATCCAAATCAAATAACAAGTCCTAAATAAAAGACACAAATCAGATCAGAGGATCATCTGACCAGACGTCCTCTATAAGAACAACGGTGTTAGAGTTAACACTTTCAAACCCATTTAGAGTTTTAAAATTCACTCTGCAAGGTCATATACCTTTGCATTTCAAATGAGCCCTGTTTTTCTCAATGAACTGTTGCTCACATGTGGATTACGTGAGTTGCCAATGAGAAGCAAAGTATTAAAGGTACTGGAAACAGACATGCTGTTCTCCTTCATCATTCTCAGCTTAGTCTTAGAATGGTTCTTGGTCTGTTTGTTTTTTCGAGTACAGGTTTTAAAGCACTATCGATACAACTTGACAGATGAAACTGCTTTGGTTTTGTTGTTAAGAAAAGAGCACCAAACCTCAATGTTATAATCCCACTTTGCGTCCTTGCTGCTGCACTTAACAAACTTGACTACTCCGCTGGCAATGTCGATACACATGTCATCATCGGTCATCAACTGTTGATTCTTAGTGTAGCAAAACACCTGAGGTGGATGGAGACAACAGAAGTACAACACTGACACACTTACACACATACAAGCAGGACAAATAAACAAAAGCACAGACACACACAGCTGTAACAGTGGAGCTGGAACCATGAAGGCACGAACTTGCTGTTGAAAAAAATGTGAGTGCATGCAGTAACAGTAACACATTAGTAAATCAAAAGTCCAACTTCAAAGGGCTCAAAACTAACAGATCAGAACATCTTGGTGTCACAGTAAACATCCACAACACTAGACCCTACTCTGTAACACTTTGCAGCTCCAGTGATAGAAGCGAACAGAAATACCTTAAACCAGTGAAATGAAAAACAGTCACTTCTTTTCTTTTGGCACAATACTGACTTGAGAAGTGACACTTTCAGTTAAGGGCAGGAAGGCTTGAAATGGCGCGCACGGAGTGGAACAACATATAAGGAGGGAGAGGAGGCCGATCAGGATTGTTCGGTGACATCGCGCAGAAAAAAGATAAAAAACTCTAAAGGAATCTCATCTTGTCTAAAAAGCAACAACTCAGTTTTGAAAAAAAACAAACCCAAAAACTATACTGACTCCTTTCGGTTTCATTTCTAGAAAAAAACTCCTTCAAAAGATTAAGTATACACTACTGGTTTAGTTCAACTTTTCTAAATTGATTTTTATATCATGAAGAAAGATTCTGTAAGTCGGTGACTCAAACTTTACATTGCTTCTAGAAATATGACGGCACATATTTTCAAGTCCATTGGTCAATATGTACATAAATGCACGGGTGTGAACACATAAAAATGTGTTATTTTAAAAAGCCAAGTGACATAAATATGAGTCAAGACACAGTGGAATTGGGCGCTCAGCAATTTTTGGGCATGTAGAGTTTTTGGTATTATTTTAAAGTATATTCATGTTTATTTTTTTTAAAAATAATTCTTGAACAGAAATTGAGAATTTGCAATTGAAGGAAGTGGGAGTCGCCTGGTTTCAGAGAAAATCGCCGCTAACGTTTCGTGGTTTCTATAGCTTGAGAGTCCTAAGAAACTGAAAATTTACATTTTTAGAGCCATTAATCAACGTTATTCAGTAAAATCCACACAGTAATGTGTTTTTTTATGGACATGTAAGGTGTTTAGCTAAAAACCAAAATTCAATCAAAATTGCCAAACTGGATGAAAAATGCTGATTTCTTCGATTTAATTACTTTGATGAGTGCCTGAGTTCACCATGATGCCTCACATATTAGGCTAGCAACATTGCTTCTATCAGAACATTTTTTTTTTTCAGGATCAAACAACCCCCCCCCCCCCCCGAATTTGCTGTTAAAGAGGAATTGTGTCTTAAGCCATTTTTGTGCTTTTTAACAAAACAGACTTGCAAGTAATGAATATAAAAATCTGACTTCATGGCAACGCAAAACATAAAGCGTATTCACCCACAGACACCCTGCTCCAAGTCCACAAAGTACATAAAAGTCTGTCGAGTTTCATCATCCAAGCCTCCCATGCAACAATGACCAACATGACTTCAAATGTTGTCTTTACCATAACTCATAGAAAGCAACAAACTTCTTGCAAGCGTCATGCTCGACATGCTGAATATCAAAACTTGAGGACGTTTGGTGTAAATACATAGTACAGTGGTCTACGGCTAAAATAGCACGCACCTCGGGTGACAAGGAAAGAGTGCTATTTATTATAGAGCAATGAAGGTGAGTAATCTAGAGGGAGTATTCTGTCGAATTTCATGGTTTGATGTGAACCACATCACATCTGAACTCCTGCGGTGGGCTGTGACTTTAAGCTGAACTTGTCCTGAGGTGAGAAAATTTCCTGTGCCAAGTGATCACAGACAATAACCGTCATAATTACTGCACAGCCCATCACACATGGTCAGTTTTTAGCTTTCCTCATTGCCCAATTCTGCCACATATGTCACTGATCACTGTGTATCTTTTTCTCCTTGACAAAGCCAAAATTTCAAGATATAAAGAAGGGCACCCGACATTTGCTTCGCTTCATTCAGTTCAGGGTAAAACTAATCATGGAACGACCGCGCTGTTAGATTGTGGTTTTTTAATTATTTTTATATAGCAAAAAATTCTGTTCCCAGATGCCAACATATAATTATTATTAAAGGCGGATCATGCTTTTATCCAGTGTGCTATTAGCTGGAGACCACTATACTTCGAACTTTTTTCCCCCTTAAAAATGCTTTCTAGCTTCGAAATCCAAAGTAAGAGATGTCTCCATTTCTGTGGGACAACACCAACAAATTTCTACACTGACAAAACAATCATGTACCTATACTGACTTTTTCAGACACAGACTTTGCTTTAGTTCTGACTACAGCCTTAGAAATGTATTGCCAACATTATATAAGTGCCTTTAATACAACTTAGCTATTTTTATTACATGAAAAACAACACATAAAAAAGTACAGTTGCATTTCAGAGTGTGTATAGAATATTCAAAATGTCAAAGAATTTGCTGAAAGGAATTAGTTTCTACCATCCATTGGGGACAAGGGGGGAAAAATATTTCCCACTATACACTTTAAAAAAATCCTATATAATAAAATAAACATATTAACATTCAAAAGTGAAATTTCAATTGACAAGACAAATACAAGGCCAGCATACAGCATGCAGAGTGCCACTCCAACATGGTCCTGAACTAACACACACGACAGCAAAGAGCCAGCAGATCCAGTGCTAGGGAGGGTAGCAGCACTACAACAAGCTACGACAACATCTTTGTGACAAAAGAGGGTTGCTGGGGGGTGTGGGAGGGGAGAGGAGGTCACTACCTCCTCGTCGTACTGCCACCGTTGGTTACCCCCCATGCCATGGCACTGAAATAATTTCACGGGTCCACCTAAACTGGACACGTCTAGACACAGATCGTCCGACTGGATTGTGTCTTTGAAGGTATATGAGAACACCTGTAGAGGAGTTTGAAGGAATGATAAAGATAGGACACGAGAAAACAGTTACTTCATTTATTTGTCTTTTTATAGCCACTTCTAACCATTTTAACATTTTTATGTTCATGAACATTTTAAATTAGTACAGCATAAATGAACCATCACAAACAGTGAAATCAATCAGTTAGCAAAAATTAGGTATACAAGCCAAGAGAATAACTTTGGATCCACAGGTGTGTGAGAAGTGAGGGTGGGCTATAGGACTGTAATCAGGGTGCCTCACATGTAATATTTTATTACATGCGATAGGCAACGCCCAACGAATGGTAAATAGGCAACTTTTTTTTCTTGTGTCAGATCCTGTTCTCCAGAGATCACACCAGCAAATTTGTTGCAAATTTCAACTTAATGGACTCAAAAAAGCACACAGTGAAAGTAAAGGAAGAAAACTTTCGAAAAGGAGAGAATAATGACCCTGCTTTTATAATCAAATACCTGACTGCCAGCATACCAGATAAGAACTTCTAGTGGATCCCAAGACCTACTAATAATGCACACACATTTTAATCTGGACATTATTCACCTAAAACAGCAATGACATAAAAGTAAACTCCTTTCCTCTCCAAATTACTTTGACTAATTCATTCATTCATTCATGAAAAAACAAAGGACTGAAAAGAAGAGGAAACATAATGTATACCAGTTGGCCTTTCAGATACGGTTACTGGGCTGTGGAATAAAGATATCATGTGACCATGGGAATGGATAAAATGAGGATTTAAAACCTTGGCAAATTCTCTTGCAAACAAAAAGTACATTGTATGTGACTTCCACAAACTAGTAAAAAAGAGCAACATTACTGCCATGAGCTCAATGCGATCAAAGTAAGTGGTAGGGGAGAAGGGAAGGAGGGAGGGGGAGGGAAGGGGGGGGGAGGGGAGAGAGAGAGAGAGAGAGAGAGAGAGAGAGAGAGAGAGAGAGAGAGAGAGGGAGAGAGAGAGAGAGAAAGAGAGACAGAGAGAGAGAGAGAAAGAGAGAAAGAGACAGACAGACAGACAGACAGAATTCTATATAGATGACAGACAAAGTCACTATTAAAATGATAGTTTGGCAAATGATAGAGCCCTACAAGCCCTGAGTGAGACTCCGGAAGGGCTAAATAATAGCTTTCTAAAAGAAGTCCCTACTAGAAGAAAAAGCAAGAAGAACAGTGTTGCCATCTAGCCATACAGGTAACTTTCCTTACCATCAGAGAGACAAAAACAAGACATTAATATAACGAAAAAAAGAGCTGACATGAGACTCACCTGGTTGCCTCCCTGACCGTGGCACTTCTCCAGGCCCACCTTCTCTCCACTCTTCCTGCCCATGGTGTCCAGGCAGTAGTCCGTGGCTTTGTTACGCATCTGACAAAACAGATTTTTAAAAGAGTTTCAGTAGGAGTATTATGGCATTTAATTAAGTTTTAGTAGAGGTTTTACGGCGCTCGCAACTGCATTAGGTCATATGAACGCCAGAAGATTTGAGCAGTTACAAGAGAGTAACAAACACAAAATAGAAGAAGTGGAGATAAGGACGATAGATGTTTGATAGGAAAGAAGAAGCAAACCACACCAGAGTACCCGCCAACAACCCACTTTATGGCATTTGCAACACAATTGGGTCATATAAGTGCTGAAGATGGGAGGTGTTACCACAGTGTAACATACAAACAGAAGGAGAAGAGATAAGAATGATGGATGTCTGATAGGAAAAAAGAAGGAAACCACACCAAAAGCAGCCTTGAACTGTGAAGAATATAAACACTCACTTCCTACCCCACTTTTTACATTATAAAGTGGAACTCAAATTCACAAAATCGGATTCAACAAAAGGATATAGATTACCTTTTTCTTTTAATTTATTAAAATCAATCAAAATTACTCAGATTGAATGAACATATTAATGAGCAACCTTGGATTCAATGAAGTCGCTTGCAGGGTGAACAGCCCCTGCTGACTTGGCTTCGACTCGTTCATTTTTCTCCCACCACAACCCTTATCCATTCCTGGAAACCATCAATGGCACCTGCATCATAAACCACTATTTGCTTAGCCTATTGTGTATATCTTAGGTGACCAATCAAAAGCTTTCTTTCATGCCAACACACAGGGACCACACTAACTGATAAAAAATGTAAAAAGTCTCTTTCTATTTTGAAATCTTGAACGCAAAATGACAGGCCTGTCTCCTTTTCCATTTATCCACATACCAGCCCGACATTTAGAGGGAATTTTAAAAAAAAAAGGGAATCCATGTTTTGTATCCCAAGACGTCTGTAAGTCGCTTGGGCACATTTCATCCTCTTGCTTTATGTCCTTCAGTTAGTAAATGGGGTATCCAACGGACACACATTTTTTTCACATGGAGTTTTCCACAAAGAAAATTTGGCACAGAAGTTCAGACAAGTCTTGAAGTTCTTGCATAGAGGTTTGGGTACGATGCTAGATTACATCAACGATTGTCTCATTCACAGAGGAATGTAAGTGCCTATAATGAGGGTCACCAATAACAGTGCCTCTCCTTTCATTAAATTCTCTTATCAAAGAATAAACTGTTTTATGTACAAGCAGATTCTCCATAAACACACTGCAAATTTTCATGAATAAGTTTGGGGAATTTCCCAGTTTAACAGGTCATAAAAGGTAAAGTGGATGTTTATTTTTGTGAAGTTTGTCTCATTTCCTCAAGAGCGCAATCCATCCTTTGTGACATAAGTAAATAATTAAGAAAGTGACATCACATGAAAGTCCTTTGGGTAGCTCGCAAGCAGACATGTTATAGATTAATCATGTGTATCGGTTTTATAACTGAAGTCAATCCACCCTCATATAGATGAAATGAAATACTAGAGTGAACCAAGGTTTATTGTAGAAAAAGAATAAAAGAACCAGAGCCAGAACGGCAGAAAGACAAACCACAGCAGCACGTAAAAAGCATATGACATTCAGAGGCCCACCTCTCCTAGTGAGTGATAGTCAATAGGCAGCTGGGACTCCGGATACACATGCTCCAGGTACCAGCGGAAACTTTTGCAGTTCAGCTTCTGCCTCAGCTTCTTCCGACTGTTCACATCGCCATACTCTGTGGCCCTTACACCTGTAGGGGAGAAAACACAGATATTGACAGTAGACTCTAGTATGATTGTAAAATGTTTCACATGACGGTCTCCATTGACTCAATTTAGATAGTTAACTATGTGATCTGTTTCAACCTTGCCTAGCAAGGCCACCTAGAGTTGAGTATGACACAGCATCTGAGAATGCAAGACGGAGATTCTCAATATTAAAAAAAACAACTTCCAAAGGCAGGAACCAAGCTCAAATTTTCACTGAAACAGATGCCATTCATCTACATACTCACTTCGTCACAATAAATGGCTGGGAAGTTTAAAGCCTACTTTAAGAACGCCTAGACCTTAAAATGAAAGACTTAGGTCAACAATTCCTCAGATTTCATTCAAAGAGAAAGAAAATTCATTCCATGCCCTACATGAATTCATCACTTAAATAATCATTACTATGTACTGTCTTCAAACATTCCAAGTATATTCAAAGATTAAAACGAAAAAAAAAAAGGAATATTAATCACTCAACCCCTGGACTGATAATGGAGTCAAGCCAAGAAAAGACACCCCCTCCCATACCTAGCAGAGAATGTTTTTTCAAGAACAAAAAATCATTGAAGGTTGAAAAAAATCCTAGCCTACTCGTATTCAATCTTTAACCATCTACATTTCAACAATTAAAGCATCAGCAACCCAAGTGCCTATTCTCACCAGGGTTGATCTTGTAAAAAAAGTCCTTGTACTCATCCATCCAGACTTCCACAATACGCTGTGTGTTGTGGTTGATAATTCGGCCCACACCGCCGGGCCATGAGTATGGAGACGTTTTACGGAACACGTGGCCGACACGAGAACAGGTGACGATGAAAATCTTTCCACCGCACATCCAAATCTGAAAAGAAAAAAAGGGAATACAGAATCAGCCTCATAACTATCATTGCTTTTTCTATATATGGGTTGAAAGCACTTATATCAATGGTCATTATGCTCCAGATAAAAGAATCAGAAGAAAAAAAAATCACAAACATCATTTTACTGCAATAATAACACAATTGCCAAAGCAATTTTTTCAAACCTTTAGTTATTGGCATGGCAAAAATGCCCGTTACTAGTTTCGTATATGCTAAATAGCAGGATACTGTTTTGAATACTAAAATCTAATTATTGACACATTTTGAATTTGCTCAAGTTTAAATTGCTAAGAACTGTTCTTTTCAAATTTTTTTTTCAATAAAAAAGACAGAGATAAGATACAAAGACATATGGCCTCATTAAAATATGACAGTAGCATTCAAACATTGTGAGAAAAAAGCATTAGAGGCACAGTGACATAGATTTTTATCAAACTTAAAAGTAAAAGAAAGGATAAACTCTTAAATGCTGATGAGACTGATACATCATATAATGTTTAAGTCTAAACAAAAGCATCAGAAAGAGCAGATGCAGACCAAAAAAAGTCTAAAGCCAAAAACTATGGAATGACTTGAAAACTAAAACATAACAGCAATGAAAAATTAAATCCTTTGCCTATCAGCTTACCCTGAAAGACATTTCTAAATTCTCTCCTCCCCAAATATCCATGCCTTCATCGTAAGATCCCATTTCATAAAAGTAATCTCTGTCTATGGAGAACAAGCCACCAGCCATTGTAGGCGTCCTGAGAAAAAACAAACCAAAAGTTGAATAAATACTCCACAGAAACCACTTATCTGAATTAAAATGTCAATTAGACTTACAAATCATGAGTATTACATATCTGCAAAAATGCTGGTAACAATAAAAAAAATAAAAAAAGAGAGGAGAAATTTGTGCAGGAGCACTTCTTTAGCAAATGTGTGAATTGCAGTGTTATGCGACCACCAAGGGAAATAAGACTGTTTTTGGAAGAAAAAAAGGCATCTAAGAGAAACACTGACGACCACAACTCAAAATCTAAATTCTTGCAGACGTGAGCTTTGTGCCTGTGACAAACAGAGTACTGTCAGTGATTGTCTTCAGTGAAACGAAAGTCAAGATAAGTACTTTTTGCACTCAAGTTACGGTGACATGTAACAACGACAGTTGGGTGCAGGTAGTCAGCTCACTCAACAAACATTTACTGAGTAAAAAATGTATATTTCATTTCCAAAACCATTATCTACAACTCAAAAATACAAACTATTCATTGATAGAAGTGATAAAACAATTAGTGCTATGGTTTCATCAGGAATATGATTAAACTTTTAAGTAGGCACAGAAGAACAGCCACTCAAAAACAATATTAATTAAAAGAAAATAAATCAAAAGAAAATTCATCATTCACAGAGCCAGTCTCTTGCAGCCTGTGTGCTGCCAGAACCATACTGACTTTAAACTCATCATACATCATACTGAAGGGATAACTGTTCTGACAAATTGAATTTACCACACTGTTGAATTACTAAAAAAAAAAAAAACATTACTCATGCCACATTCATCATTAATGTCATTATCCTTTTGTGTTATTGTAGTGTATTCACTATCATCAGCCAGTATTAATTTCATGGACTTTCCTGAACAGTCAGAATTAAAACTGTGCTGTTATTTAGAATTGAGTTTTTGGATCATCCACAATTTTAGATCTAAATCTATGTCGTTTAACAACCCAAAAAATTAACCATCAGCAATATTAACCAAGTGGGTAGTGAGATTGAATGCAGAAAAAGCAGTATGTTGTAGAGGAATTTGATTAGCTATCTTAATTGGAAAGTGACTCGGATTCTAGAATCAAAATTGTCGGTGATACAATGTGCTGCCACTTGAAAAACACGCCTTCAAGTTTTAGTTTCTCACAAAGACAGAAAATAGTATGTCTATATTTAGCTCAACCAATAATTTTGGATGGATCTGGAAGACTGGACACAAATGAGTAATTAATTAGAGGAGGAGAAAACTATACGCTCTATGTCGGTCGTTCTGGTGGAAAGGGGTAAAAAGAAATGACATGGAGCATGTAGTTCTGGCTGATAAGAGTTTATAAATGCCCAGTAACTGCACCATATTGCAATAACCCAGTAGTTCACAATGTCCAAAACGTCAGAGTAATATCACAATTGTCCCAGGACATGCGCACCCTGGCAACCGGACCACATCAATGTACCTCAATAACTCCATCAAAATCACAATGCCCAGTAACTTCACAAAGCCCACAGCATCTCGACAACCTTACAACACCACATACTCCAATAACTTCTCATAATACCCCATACCTATGTTTCCCAGGAAGTTGAGTTTGTTTCAGAATGCTCTGTCTGCTGGGGTAATAGCATAGACTGTGAAGTGCACAGAGCTTGCTGTTGAGCGGGGATTTGCGCTATACAAATGCTATCTTTTATTATTATTACCCTAACCACACAAAGCACAGAATTTAACACAGCCAGTAAAATGTGGAAACTCTGCAACATAGCAGTATTATACTAACGAGCGCTCCAAACCCACTGTGAGAAGACGGTCAAAGGCATGAGACCGAAACCGGAAATTCCCGTAAACCTACTTAATGTATAACTGAACGTAAAATCCTTCGGCGCAGTCGGCACTCCGCAGTGCATATACAATGTCGAAGCAAATGATGGCGATCGCTACAAAAGGACTAAATTTAACTTAAAATGGGCTTTCTTCTTACACATTTGATCTAAAATGAAAATACAATAGTGCAACACTATGTTTCAAGTTATGTGTACTGTCAAAGTTTCATATTTTTTCATTCTTTAGTTTCTGAGATAAACTGTTCGCAAAATTTGGCCTTAGCTCCATTAGTGGTAAGATACTCTAATGACCTCACCACATCACAATACCCCATGAATCTAACCAGATCAAAACATCTCAGTACTTTCATGATGCCCAAAATACAAATTACCTTCACAATATTCCAGTAGACCCATCACATCAAAACATATTAATGAATAACTTCCCAGTGCCACACTAATCACGCAAAGCAGAAAATTCACGAAAACTGCGCAATATTGAAACCTGAGAACATGACAACAGTAAACTACCTTGTGGGCTGACTGCGGTCTCCTCCCCGTCGGTCCAGCTCACGTTGAGGAACCTGATACCAACGGAAATTGAGCTTCCAGTTGAAGCCACCCCATGTCATGTCAGAGCCTGTGATGTACTCAAAAGTGTCGTCGCTGATGACGTCAATAATTGGACACACCACCGACGTCCTGACAGAAACAAAACAGATTAGATGAAACTACACAAAGAGAACCCTTAATGTAGCACTCAACCCCAACCCACTTGTAAATGTATTTGAGTTTTAACACTAAACAAGACATTCATTCAAGAGAAAAAAAACCCAGCACAATAATTGTGGCCACAGAGTGGAAGGAGAAAGCAAAGCTTCTTTGTTTTATTAGAGTCAGTGATTGCACAGAAACAAAAATGGTCACGAGATTACAAACGGTCAGTGCATTAACACAGAGAGATAGGGTGGTGTTCAGTTAAATTGGCAAAATACATGGTTTCCATGCAATTTTCATACAAGATGAGAGAAAAACTTGGAAATTTTCGAAATGTTCTTCACATCCCCGATCCTTCTGTAGTTAGGACCTGGTCCTAGTCTTCTCAAAACAACGGGTTGATAAATCTGGGATTCCATGAGCTCATTGTGCCTCTTCAGAATAAATATTGGGAGTCAAAAGAGGGATTCCCAAGCAAAATATACTATTTCAAATCAAATAAAAAAGTAACAATACTCTCACAGGCACAAATGATTTAGAGTTTGTCTGAGAAATACATGCAGTTACCTGATCCTGAATATATTTTACAAATTTGAGCAATGGGTCAAAGGCACTCAAAGACAGAACACACAAAAACTTCAAATACCTGTCATTATGGATCTCTGACAACAATGGCTCAAGCCAGCCTTCTGTGCATTCACAATGTGCGTCAAGGAAAGTGATCACCTGGCCTTTAGACACATAAGCACCTGAAATAGATTACAAGAAAAAGTGAAATTTAAAAGAGATGAAACGGGTCATGGAACTTATTGAATATCAAAGAATCAAGTGGTTCTGTCATCATCTAATGAGAACGCCGCCCCCCGCCCCCCACTTCAAACTATCCAGCTAAACAAGCATACAATGCAAAAGAATCATGGAAACCGGCTATAAAATTTGGCTGGCTTCAAAGAGGTCCTTCACAAGAAATATAAATCTACTACAGAAGCCACCCACCTAACCTCCCCTCAACATGTTACAATGAAGATGAAAGAAAAAGAATAGTAAGTTATATTTTCCACATTTGATTTTGTCTAATTTTCTCTTCCATGAGCATGCAGGGAATTTTTTTTGTCCCCACTTTCGTCATGTTTTCCACAGCTTGAAATTTATAGCTTACAACAACAGAGATACTTTCTCTCAATTCTTGGTTTGTCTGTAAAAGATCAGTTTAAAATTTGGATTGGTGCTTTGACTGCCTCAGTTGCCTAAATCTCAACAGCATTTTAAACATGACTGGTACATAGTAAAGTAAAGTTGTTCCCACATCCAATCCGGACATTGGGGATTGCCTTGTCAGTTAGAAAACCACCTGGGTCTTCGGCATATTGTTGTAGGGTGGCCAGTTCCTTTCCACACTGCATTTACTTCCCCAACTCAAAGTTAGGTACCCATTACTGCAGGGTGGGCAGGAGGGGGCGAAAAAAATCTGTGTCCGAACCGGGGCTCGAACCTGGACTTTCTGCTTCAGAGACGAGCACACTAACCGCTCCACCACTGCACATAGTAGTTACATAGTAACTATACCATATAGCCTGCAATAATATCTATTCTCCAATCAAGTAACCAACTATACCATATCAGCTTCAGTCAAAGCTCTTTTACCACAAGGCAGCTTTTGCCGTGTGAACAGGAAATTAATTTTATGCTCTGTTCCTATCCACGAGTCATAGCCAACTGCCTAGTCAATGAATGTGGTATTGATTTCTAGACAACAGGTTGAATCACCCTCCAATCTGACATTGATATCCAAATTTGAAATTAAGATAACATGTATTCTGTCACAACTGGAAAGCTTTAAAAGTTCACTCTTTTTTTTAAAGGCGCAAAGAGCCCACTGTACTTGTACAAACTAAATAAGTAGACATATAATTCACTGATGAAAACAGCACTTGCAAAAGCTGAAGGGAAAAAAAAGCCCTAACAAAAAATCTCAGCAAAAGGGAGTCAACACGTCAAGACCTTTACCTCAACATGAGCCTATCTAGTTATTTGCAGACAATACTGCACTATTTTCTGTCACCTGTTTTCCTCAACAATGTTGACCGTACGAGCTCCACATAACACCACTAGAGTTTGGCACCATACTCTATCTCTCAGGTATTATAACATAAAAACAGGAAAACTATGCCGTAAACCTCAGACTTTTGTATCTAAAAAATATTTTGATTAAATTTTTAATGGAAAAAAAAAGTGAGAGTAAATACCAGCATTGCCATGCAGTGCCAACTTCTTGGTTTTAAGTGTGTATATTTTGTAAACATTTTTTAATGAGGGAGTTTTAACGCTCTCATTGACACTACTTGAATCATTTAGGTGTTCAGTAAACAAGCATAAAGAACTTGTGATAAAAAAAAAAAGAACAGAATAAAAAAACAAAAATAACCTTTCCAATTCATTTTTTAAAATATATGTAGGACTTGCAAGAAAAAATCTGTAACTAATCTTGGGGAAAATGACACAAACAGATTTCCTTTCATAGTAACGCAAATTGAATATCCCTTCCTCTCTAATAACCCGGCAAAGCTGTTTATTACTCAAGGATAACCTTCTATAGCATCGCCATAAACAAGTCTAATACAGACAACAGCTGGCTCCAAAGATGGGGTGGTGCAATATTTATGGGATGCTGAACACCTTGCAAGCTGATCAATAATTCATATCACTATAAAACAAATATAATTACAGGCAAAGACGAAAGAGAGGAGAAGGGAAGGAGGGAGAGAAAGAGAGACAGAGAGAAGGAGAGGGAGAGGGAGAGGGAGGGAGGGAGCGAGAGAGAGAGAGAGAGAGAGAGAGAGAGAGAGAGAGAGAGAGAGAGAGTGAGAGTGAGAAAGAGAGAGAGAAAGAGAGAGAGAGAGAGCGACAGACAGACAGACAGACAGACAGAGAGGGGGGAGGAAGAGAGAGACAGAGAGAAGGGGAAAGAAAGACAAAGGAACAGACAGACAGCAACAGGTAGATCTATTTAAGACTTTTAAAAAAGTTTTGTAAGAGTTTTATGGCACTTGCAACACAATAATGTCATATAAGTGCCGAAGATTAGAGGTGTTACACAAAAAAGGAGTGGAGATAAAGATGATCGATTTTTTACAGCAAAGAAGGAGCAAACCAGAGCAGAGCACCCGCCAACCACCCACACTATACAGACTCACAGGAAGCAAATAGAGACAATAAGAAGAGACACAAATAAGGGAAGGATTAAACCAAGACAGAATACGAAAAGAAAATTAGCTTGACTGTTCAAGATTATACATGATATGAGACTAATGAATGTCTTATGAGGCACAAATAGCTGTTAGCGGAGAAGATTTGCCCAATATAATAAATCCAATTATAATTTTCAATAAGTCTGATACAACAACAACCCCCCCCCCCCCAAAAGCATTTCCTTTTCATCGACCGGATTTTCATTTCCACCTGTAGCAAAACAAACTATGTTTGTATTGTGCTATTGGTATACAGAAAAGCATAGAAATAAGCGATACTAATAAAACAAACCAACTTATCACTTAACAATAAGTAAAAGTAAAGTCTGCACCACACTATTCACCACATGGCATTTCCAAATTCAGGAAGGAGTGATGAAACCATGAACATTGGAGAAATCTTACAACACCATGCAATATAAACTCCCAATCATGGGCAAAACAACGTTGAGAATCAAAGGTAATGCAGTGTCATAAGATTACATAATAAATAAAGACACTATGTACTTACGAGGGGGATTTCAATAAGTCTTTGGTATGGGTATAAAGGAATCATGGTAGAGTAATGAAATTTTGCCAGCCTTTAGACAGTTTCTTTGGAACACACCATGCAAATTTTCTGGAAAATCCGACTAGTCAGCATGTTCAATGACACCATGCACAATTTGCTGAAGCTGTGCCATGGAGCCTGTTGAATATTGCTCAGTTATCAAGTTTTTACACTTGCATTGAAAATCCCATTCGGACATTTTTCAGGAAATGGTCCAAGTTTATGGTGACAAATGTCTTTGTTGTAATACTCTGACATACTGGGTAAGAAAATTCAAATCTGGATTCATGACGGTGATGAAGGAAATTCGTGAAAGGCGCCCATCCTTTGTGGTAACTGAAGAGAATGTATCCATAGTGAAGAAACTGGTTTTACAAGACCGACGTATAATGGTTAAACAGCTCTCAAGTGAAACAGGAATCAGTGTAAGGTCAATTGAAATGATTCTCCATGACCATCTTTACATGAATACGGTGTCTGTGCAGTGGGTACTCCGCCTTTTGACAAGTGAGTAAAAGAAGCAGAGGGTTGAGTCCTGCAAAACTCTCCTTCGAATTGAGTCCAAAGACAAAGATTTTTTTAAAAACATGGTGACTATGGATGAAACATGGATTTATCATTTTGATCCAGAACAAAAAATGTCCTCCACGCAATGGAAAACCCCTTCTTCTCCCTCACCAAAGAAGGCAAAGGTAACATGGTCAAGTGGAAAGGTCATGCTGTTGCGTTTCTGGGATTGTGAAGGTATCATCATGACTGACTACCTGGAAAATGAAAAAACAGTCACAGGGGACTACTATTCGGGTTTGCTGATAAAATTGTGGTCAAGAATTGGTGAGAAAAAGGGGTGGACAACTCTGCAATGGGGTCCTACTACTGCATGACAACATACCTACGCACAAGGCACGACAAACAGTCGAGACAGCAGAAAAGTACAGCTTTCAAATCCAGCCACAACCAGCTTTTTCACCAGACCTGGCCCCTTCACACTTTTTTCTGTTTACTAATCTTAAAAAATCACTGAAAGGACGTCGTTTCCAAAACAACGAGGACACCATTGAAGCTGTGGAAGACTGGTTAGGGGCCCATCCTGAATAATTTTTTTCTCAAGGACTTTTGAGGGTCAAAGAGAGGTGGCAGAAATGTGTTACTCAGCATGGTGACTATGTAGAGAAATGAAAGTATGTGTGCCAAATTACAAAGCTTTATCTTTATTCCTTCATATTTAGACCATATCTTAATCTTTATTCCTTCATATTTAGACCAAAGACTGCTTGAACTCCCCTCGTATTTCACTTCTCATTTTGGATTTGGTGACATAAATCATTAAATACACAATAGACATACATCTAAAAAGGCATGTACTTCCACATTCGAACACACACACACACCCCACCCCCCACACACACCCACCTACACACACACAATATTCATACACCTGGAAGACAAACCTTTCAAACGGGCTCGTATTAATCCTATCCTTTTTCCTGTGCGTACAACTTTTACAGATACGGGCAGTTTGGCTACATAGTCCTCAAGTTTACGTCCTAAATGCTCTGAGGAGAAAAAAAACAAATTCTATCAGGTCCAATCTGTTTAATGAAGCCAATCTACAAGCTTGTTGTGAAGTCAACAAACTTGTGTTAATAGCAAATAGAAACACCAGAAAAAGAAATAAAAAACATAAATACGAGGAAAGAGTCGGAAAGATATGTGACTATTAAGTAGTAGCAGTATCAGTCGGCCAAAAGACAAATATGGTACATTTTATGAAACAGAAACATCAACAATAAGTGGGCCAGAAAAATCTACAAACATACAGTGTGCAACAAACTTTTTTCAAATACGCATAAATTACATAAAAACAGTCCCTCAGAAGCAATTTCTCGCACATTATTGAAAAAGGAATTTAAAAACATTTCTCCCCATTCACACAAAACAAAATTAAAAGGTACAAAAGAAATTTGAGTAAAATTCAGTTTTTACTGTGCTTACAAGATAAATAAAACTACAGTCGAACCTGCCTTAACGGAAACCTGAATAAAACGGAAATCTGTCTTAACGGAATCTCCTTGCTCCTCCCTAGATATATTCCTCTTCAATTACCCGTATAAAACGGAAACCTGTCAAACGCGGAAATGGAAAGAAAAATCCGCTCCCTTCCGAGGGTTTCACCTGTCTACGACGGAAAATGCTTTGCCCGCTCAGCCCTGATTTGAAACAAAACTCGCAAGTTTGGTTCCGTCGGCTCTAAAGTTAATGCTATGGCCATGCAGCAGGGCGAGGAAGGGGAGTAGGGGTGCAATTTGCGGGTAGATGTTACCCCATCATGTGAGCCCTGAGGGATGCAGATGGTCAGTGTAGTGTGGGTGTGAAATCTCACGACTGCCCGTGAGAGTGTTCGAGTAGTGAGCCACTACGGAAACTTTCCTGGGTCCAGAACCCAGAGGTGTGAAATCAGATTGACCAATGCCTGCCCCCGTGATCATACGGCCAGCTGAGAAAAGAGTTCCTCGAATCATTGTTACAATGATGGCAGTGAGGGGTAGCATTGGAGGGTGGGGCTAAGATGGAAGCAATGGAGAAGGTTCAAACGTTTGTGTTTTTAATAGGTCAAACAGTGGTCCTATGAAAGGCAAGCACTGGTGGTAATTGGATAAGTAAGACTGATGCATGTCATTATCAGACAGGATAGCAATTGAAAGGTGTGAAGTTTTGACCATTGCTTGCCGATCGGACAAGCCATCCTTGATCCCACCAGCTGGGCCTTTGAACCCCCCCCCCCCCCCCCAACCTCAATCTCCCCCTAAATTCCCGTCTAAGATGGAATTTTTTTCTGGCTCCTTTGCGATTCCGTCTTACACAGGTTCGACTGTATATACAATCAAATCAAATAAGATGCAGACATCTTCAAAAGGAACAGGGTATGTTTCTTGAGTTATAAGGGTCTGAAAGTTCATTTCCCAGGGCTATATGCAACATTAAAAAAACTAACAAAACAAAACAAAAATTGAAGTAGATAAAGAATGTTGATCACCCAAGTACTCATAATTTTTGACAAATAAATACAGTAGAACCTGCCCCAGACGACCGCGGACTAAAGTATTCATTTCAGACAGGTGGTCCTCTTGGACAATGTCAATATAATACAGGAAAAATGCAAGGAAAGTGGTCTTTTACACAAGTGATTGTTTTGAACAGGTGATCGATAGAGCAGGCTCAACTGTATTTTAAAACCAACAAACCTTTTTCACTGGCATCATCAACGAGTAGAATCTCTTCCAGTAATTCATTGGGCGACCGATCTATGATACTGTGAACTGTGCGTAATAACGTGCTCCAGGCTTCATTGTGAAACACTATAACAATGCTGGTTTTCGGAAGAGACCTCAGCGGAGGATACTTTTTTCTTCTACACCTGTGTGGAAAGGACAAAAAGGCAAGTTGAGACCTTCAATAACAATATGTATTGATAAAAAGGTGTCTAAAAAAAATAAGGACCTATTAAAAGGGCAATAACTGAGTCGTCTCAGCACAAATTATTACAAAACTTGAAAAAAATAAGATTGAACTAATGGGACACCAGATTTGCCAACATGAAAAAAATTAGTCAACATGTTTCAAAAAAAGTTGTTAAAATTCCGACTACAACTGAGTAGTCTTAAAAATACAATCAGCTTCAGGCTCTTATTCGACCCGTTCTGGTTTCAGGACAAAGTTGGTGAAACCATCGTCACATGAGTTTGACAGAGTTCTAGGTCACCATGCTGAAAAAGTTATTGAGAAGTTTGGGGAGGAGAAGGGATTATGCTGCAGAGGTAGCCTGGTTTCAGCAGGGCGCAGCTATACACATCAAGACTACTGCATGGTTGTAGGAAAGATTTACTGAACACCTTATAAGCCTAAAGCTTACAAATGAATGGTCACAGCTACCCTGACCTAAACCCCCTCAATCATTGCCTTTGGGGCTTTTTGACGGACAGAGTCTGTGGAAACAACCCACAAACCCGAACTCAATATTGGACAGTATGTCTAAGGAATCGACTTAGAAACACCCTGCAGGATTATTCAAAACTTCTTGCCGCGCATTTGAGCTTGTCATGACAGAAATGGCCGATACCTGGAGGAGCACACAATTTAATTCAAATTAGTCTTCGCAGAGTTTATCTGTCAATGCAGTTTTAAATAAATTTGTTTTTCAATGCACACATGCACATAACCTTAAGATTTTTAAAAGGCTGTTAAGTTTCGCATTTCACTCAGTTTTGGTTGAAATTCATGAAACTCGATATTCCTCAAATATGTAGGTTAATTTCTATTTACATTGAACAACTTGACCTCCCCTTGGTTGAATTTTATTCATTTCAATTTTTAAGAATTGGTTCAGAGGTAACCAATACATTTCCCTTTAAATGGGACTTTTTTTAGACGCCCGGTTTTTCAGATGATAACGATGAGAAAAAATACAAGCACATAAGAAAAAGAGAGAGAAATAGACAGGCAGGCAGACAGCTGATAGAAACAGAAACTGAGAAAGAGATAGAGAAAGAGAGAGAGAGAGAGAGAGAGAGAGAGAGAGAGAGAGAGAGAGAGAGAGAAAGAGAGAGAGACAGAGAGAAATACAAGACAATAATCAAGCGAGGATTAAGCAACCATGTCGCATTTTTTGGGAAGTGGTTTCAATAAAATGATATAAGAAGCAAATCATACAAAAGCATCAACCAAATGTAATATTTGAAAACATTTGCAATAACGATCGGATGCTTATCCCTAGCCTTCTCAGTTTAAAAAAAAAGAAAAGAAAAGAAAAGAAAGGAAAAAAAAAACAGGGAAAGAAATCTTGTGGGGATGGGTTTCCATATGAATAAGTTGGCCCTTGTATTGATTGTGTTCTGTGTTCTGTACAGCTCTGCTTTTTCTTCTTTCTTACGTTTTCCTTTAACTCTCAGAATGAGGCTCCCGTTACTCGATCATCCGGTGTCTTCTCCCACCTGGAAAGGGGGAAGAGGGAGCCCGCACATGAGTCAGGGGAGCTTATTATGTGGGCTCAGAAGCGCTGCAGGTATGGCGGTTCGCCATTCAACCCGGAGGTCCGGAGTTCAGATCCCCGCCCGTGTCTGCTTTTTCTCATGTTTTAAACATCCCGGTACCCTAGGATCGAGCATGTCATAGTATAGTCTTCTTGGAAAAAGATACCAAAAAATTCGTCGGACCCAAATGAAAAGTACCCCGGGCGTTCTCAAAGAGGAACGACAAGAGTTTGGTGGCTGACAACCTCGCGGTGTCCATCAACAACACCCCCCCCCCTCTCTCTCTCTCTCTCTCACTGACCTTGAAATTAGATGACACCATTGTACAGGTGATTACAATGTCATGTAGTACAGGGCAGCATGGAGAATAATACATCGATATCCCTAACCTCTTCAGTAGAGCTACATAACCTCTTCAGTAGAGCTACATGACTTGTATAATTATTATCTTTATTACGAGTCATGCCAACACGGGTACATTATAATTACGCTAGTCCACCCACTATCGTCTCCAATTTCGGCAAAGAAGACCAAACCCATGCCAAACTCTACTGAAACCAGACGGACCGAAATGATAATAAGTCCATAATATAATGGGCTACTGCATAAAGCACGTGACCGTCGTATACATGTATAATGACTGGCCACCCTAATAATACTCTCGGTACTGGCCACCCTAATAATACTCTCGGGTGGAGCTTCTGGTGCTGTCATAATAAAACCGATTGTGTGTGTGTGTGTGTGTGTGTGTGTGTGTGTGTGTGTGTGTGTGTGTGTGTGTGTGTGTGTGTGTGTGTGTGTGTGTGTGTGTGTGTGTGTGTGTGTGTGTGTGTGTGTGTGTGTGCGCGCGCGCGCGCCGCGGAGCACCAAAGAGGCCATCAATCACTCACAATCCAAAGTTGCTCATAATACATGAACACTCACACAAACAAAAAGAAGGTCAATCAAAATCTGCCAGCCCCCCCCCCCTCCCCCGAAACCCACCCGCTGCATGACAGCCCAGGTACTTACTCGTCCATGCGGTAGTCCGGCAGGCTGCGGTTGAGCGCCATCATCTCGCTTGCCACAAGGTTGAACTGGTTGATCTTGAAAGTCTCCTTCGCCTCCGCCTCGCGATCTGCCGGTACCTTGACCGGCTTGCCGCCGTCCCCTGGGCCGTTGGGCGCGCTGCCGGGCAGCAGACCTGGTGGAAGGGGTGGAAAAGGTTGCTTGATTTTGTACCGTAATTTTCCCTTTTTTCTGGTAGGAGTTTTACGGCACTTGGAACACAATCAGGTCATATAAGTGCCGAAGACAGCATGTTTTATTAGATAGTAACATAACCCCCCCACCCCCAAATTAAAAACAGTTTTAGTAAGAGTTTTACGGCACATGTAATGCAATAAGGAAATATAAGTGCCGAAGATTTAGAGGTGTTACAAGAGAGTAACAAACATACAAAAGAAGGAGGAGAGATAAGAACGATAGACGTCTGATAGGAAAGAAGAAGCCAACAATACCAGAGAACCCGCCAACCACCCACTTATTGGACTACACCCCCATCGACATAGCTTAGATCAATTAAGAGACGGGCTGATTCCACACTACCGAATAGAACCAACCGCAGAATTGAGTAAGATGACCAGAGCATGCCAAAATAGAGAGGAAGACACTCGATGGAATCAATTTCCCTACCCACAATCAAATTCATGGGTGGGGGGAGAGGGGGGAGGGTTGTGAGCAAAGGAGTATCCTGCTGGGTGCTATTTCATCGCATCTTTGTTTTATTATTCGACAAGCGTGAAACCTGTAAGTGCACTGTGCACTATAACCACCACCGATGTATTTGAGAATTTGGTAAGTATTTCCTCTGCAAGCAATGGTTTCAGCCTTGATGACTACTGTTACTGGCACAACAGCCTAGGCACTTAAATCAAGGGGTGGGGAGGGGGAAGGGTATGGACTGCTCAGGGTAAAGTAAGATGTGTGTCGTTTCAAAGAACAGCTGAAAAAGTGCCCCTTTGACTAGACTAATAAAAGAAAAATTATAGGATTAAAAAATGCTCCCAGCCCTCTACTTTAAAATATAAATAAATAAACACAACAAAATCCACAAATCAAACACAACTCACAAAAAATCTCGATAACACTTATCATCACAGGCAACCAATATTGCCACACCAGCTACTTGCCAATGGTGGTTCTATGTGCGCATACACATGAGACTTGCACCGGAAGAAAAGTGAAGAACACGACGCATGAAACAAGTTCTATAGATGTCTTTCTATACATATTATGACATACTTTGAATGTAATTTACTTCAACGACTGAGCAAAACCAATGTAGTTAAGATTCCACTATTGTAGGCAGAATGCATGGTCGCTTCTCACAGGCTGAACTGCCTCACTATCATTATGGATCTTCTCGTACGCAAAGCCCAGACACAACACCATTTGTTTTGACTTTGAGGGGAAAACATCGACAAACTTCGAGCAGGGAAAAAGAAAGACGGACAGACAACGACAGACACAAGAAAGAAAGACAAAAAAAGTAGGAAAAAGTAAGATTAAAGCAAAAGAGCACAAAAAACAAAGACACAGCAATGGGAAAGAAAAGGTCCCATGAACACAAGAGTGAGTCCTCAATAGCGAGATAGTTGCGCTCATGTTTGGGTTGGATTGTAACGGACTTACCCCCCCCCCCCACCCCAACACACACACACACACACACACACACACACACACACACACACACGCCCATTAATATACTAACAGTCATCTAGCGCAGGGAACGAGAAAGACGAACAAGAAGAACCAACACGTGGGGGGGGGGGGAGAAAACAAAAGGGAAAACAGTTCAAGTGGCGCTCTCCAACCATCCGATTTGTCTGATGAGACACAATGGACACACTACGACATATTATTCAAAGACAAAATTACGTATTGTGGTCCAACTGCTGCAGGTGCAGTGACACAGCGCACACATGTGAACGAAAACTTGCAAACGTAAGGAACAGAGAAGAAAATGACTGTCCCATGCACCACCACACCAGTTTCCCTCATGCAAATAATCGTCATGCTGAAGAGGCAAAAACTGATAAAGCTCATTACTCATGCTTGGCCGTACCAAAAAAAGTTTTATCCCCCCCCCCCCGAAAAAAAAGAAACACGAGAAAAGTAGCCGGGATCTAACTTGGGCCGTTGCGTATTCGCAATGTCTCCGCTCCGAAATCCAGCATGATATCAACTCTGGGCTCACGCTGTGTCCTCTGAGTTTGTAACCCACTATTCCAAAAACGTCCACCATAATAATACTTAAAACACATACGCACTAAGTCGGATCACAATTCTCGTCAGTATGGGAGGAGGATAAGAAAGGCATGCAACAGAGAAACATGTACGAGATTGAATAGTTATCAACATGCCATTCAAAACGTTATTTTAAAGACTCGCTTCGCACCGAAGGATTTGGCGTTTTATTTTTATTACCATTTTTTAAATATATTTATTTTTGGGGGGTAAGTGTTTTACGCACCGCGCTCGCAATAGCATACGGTCATAATATGAGCGCGCGGGACACATTAACCATTTTCAGTTGGTAGGAAATTTTTGAGTTTTGCCCGGGTGGAGGCCGAAGCACACTCATAGATTTTAGACCACCAAGGGATCTTTAACGTTCGCAACTAGCACACGGGACCTCCAAGATTTTTCGCCCTTGTAAGAGAAGGTAGGGTATAGATCTTTTCTACCAGAAGACCAGGGGTGTGGCTCAAAGACAGCAGTAAGAAAGAGCCAATGAGTAGCAGTAGAAAGACTGCAGAAAGAGCCAGGGGCCCAGAGGAGGGGGCAAAGGAAGTGAGGGGGTGAGGGCAGAAAGTGGAGACGAAAGCAGATGACAGAACATTGCTAGAGAGCAGGAAAGGAAGTGAAAGGAGACAATTTTGGAGAAAAAAATAATTCTGTCACTACCCGGATTCGAACCCGAAACCTTTGAATGAAAGGCCAACCTCTAGGCCATGAGAGCCCCCATTTATTTATTTCTTTATTTTTGTTTTTATGCTTTTTAGACAGACCCGGGGGAGGGTCTATACTAAACCTTCGGTCAGCTCAACAGACAGTACAAAACCCAGACAGCAGAAATATAAGCGCCAAAGTGATATACAGTCACGCATCGAAGCTGATCCTGACGAACAGATTTACGCCAGTAACGTAAGTTTAGTTTTAGTATGATTTTGCGGTACTTGCAACACAATCAGGTCATACTATAAGGGCTGGGGATTACATGTGTTACTAGAAAGCAATATACAAAGACGGGGTGGTTGGGGGGGGGGGATATAGATGACAGATACTTGACAGAAAAGAAGGAGCACACTTCCAAAATCAGTTTTTCACAGAATCCCACTGACTTTATGCGAACAGGACTAGAAGTCATTTTTCAACTGACACGAAAGCCATAAAACAAAGAGCACTGAGAGCATTTGGAAAATGGATCGCATTTTTAAAATCATGATTACTTTTTCCTTTATTATTACTTTAAATTGAGGGCAAGCGAGGCAGGGGTGGACCCGGAACAACATACTTGGGGAACCTAAACAAATGGGTGACACGGAAAGATCAGGGAAAAATAGCTTTTTTTGAGAGCATCCGAGCAAAGGAATGAATGGAGAACCATGATCGCCGATGTCTGTCGCAGATCTGGTACTGGATGATGATGATGATTATTACTTTTTACTATGCTATCTTTTTTCTTTCTTTAAAAAAAAAGGGGGGGGGGTGATCTTCAGCTCAAATCACCCCAAACTCAAATAGCTACGCGCAATGGAATCATGCGATATTATTTGTGAAGGCTGAGATCTTGTGACATTGCTACTACATACCATTGACAACACAGAGGATGCCTTACTCATCCTGTGTAAGTACATCAAACTTTTCAGGTGTTGTTATTTTATTTGTTTTTTTTAATACAGTAAATGTATCGATCGACTAGACACAAGCAGGCCATTTATAAGGCGCAGCACTTGACCGAGAGGTCAATATAAAGGAAAGGGAAGAAAGAATAAGAAGAGAGGCGATAGACGCAAACACCAAAACAGTATATAAATCACAAGATGAACGAGGTGCGTCTCACATACGTTCCCCTGCGATTTACCGTTTACAAATCATATAGCTATCCGAAATTCTCTTCGTATTTCAAAATAAACGTTATTTTGTTATCTATTCAACATAACATTATGCTCCATCAATGTTCTACACACTTTCCTATGAATGCACGCAGCGCTCGAAAACATGAACCAGTATTCCTTTGTCCAGGCCCTGTTTTTCTTTTATGACAGTCCCTTGAATCTCATCTGCGTCTTCAAAACTGATCACGAAGCATGTTTATTTTCAGTTTAGGAAACGGAAAAGTTACAATCTAGCAAGTGGGATGCATGTTCTAGCAAATCCCACGAATAGGTCCCGACGAGTCAAGAGACCACTCTGGATTTGAGGACAGCATGTGCGTTGTCGTGGTGGAATATGACGCCAGCTTCTAGTACATCGGTTTATTTATTGATTGATTTATTGATTTGTTTTTTATGTATTTTTTAAAATGTATTTGTTTATTTGTCTGTTTATTTATTAATTTATTTTTAGATTTGTTTATTTATCGATGTATCTATTTTTCTGGGGGTGCTAAAGACTGGCCTTAATTTGTCATGTATTTCTGATCTGTGGTATTCATCATTGGCTATGCCTGTATTGTTAAAGAATACAACATTTGATTCCTCTTTTTGTTCATTGGGCCACTTTCAAGTTTTTCCCTTGGACATATATTTTTTAAAGATAAAAGTTCAAGTCAAAATGGTATGATTACAACAACTTTTGTCACAAAGACTACAAATACAAACATAATAAAATTCCAGCGCTCTGGGTGGAACGGATTGGGATTTACAAAGAAGGGAAACTTCCTAGTGAGACGCACCTCGTAAGTTTGAGCAAGACTTAGTGTGTACCGCCCCGGTCTAGGGGAGCACCACCTGCTATTCAGCAATGGGTCAATACAATTTTGCTTCACTCACAACGATGTTATCCAGTCATCAGAAAACAAGTCATGAACAAAGCCACAGGACACACAGGGCAACAGCCACTGCTCTGCATTTCTTCAGATCCAAGTTCAAGCATAATACATGCCTTAAACTAAACCCTAAACCCTCTTTAAATGCAAAGTACTGGGAAGAGTTTTTGGAGATGCAGGCATTCCTTTAAAAAAAATTTAAAAAACATACATCAGAAAACAGGAGGAAAATAAGAAAACTGAAACAAGAACCGCAACGTACAAATGATTCAGGCAGAATAAGCAAAGCTTTAAAGACTTCCGTGTCAGTTAGGAGTAAGAGTAAGTTTGCCACAGGTTGAATATGCTTTAGCACAGGAAAGCAAAGTAAGACCCAGAATAGACCATGACGAGCCATAAACTGACACCGTCCTCACCTCCAGGCGTGCTAGACTCCTCAGAATCTAACTCCACTTCTGGAACACCTGGGAAACATGATAGTACGAATCAGGATGCCAACCTCTCTTTACCGGTCCCAACCATAGACTTGCATTACAATATTTCTGATTGTTGCTCTCCGCCCTCTCTTAAAAAAAACAAAAAAAACTGCGCTGGTGCACACCATAGGAACACTAATGAAAGGCAAAACACACCAGACTCGCTATTGTCGAGTGCAGGCGCAACCTTTCACTCCTTACTCTTCATTCGGTTCCAGTCAAATGACGCACTCCATATTGAACCGGAATTACACCAGAGTGCACGTACAGTCTTGGATGTTATTACTTGACAAGTCAATAGACCCAAAAGAGGCTTCCTACATTGAGAGCTAAATATATCTGTAAGCTGTCAGGTGTGATTGTCCTGTGCAATTTCTTTAAAAGTCAATTTACCACTTCGTAACACCTAGAACTTTAAAGCTAGAAGAGCCAAAATAGATTTTAAGCTAAATACTGACTTTTAAAAGTCTTCGCACAAAGACACATGCGGTTTTCAAAACAAGTCTGCACATCATACAGTCGGACACACATAAGAAAACATACATATTGTGTATATCCATCAAATAAACAGAACAGGCAGGGTGGGGGCCATGCTTCGGTAATACTCGCATTAATTAACTCTGTATCTCACGGACAGACAAACAAATCAACACAAACCTCAGAGGGGGGAATGCGAACAGTAAGCAAACGGACACATACTACTACTATAGGACTTTTGCGTCTTGACAGAAGACATTGACGCAGTATGTATGCGTGACAGTTTTGCCTAGTCTGAAGAAACACATAGATGAAGTAGATGGCTTAAGCACTGTCCCTCTCCCCCCCCCCCCCCCCCCCTTTTACAGATCATGACTTCCTACAAATGCCCCAATTGTAAAGAAGTGGCTTACTATTGTACAGGCGCGGTCGGGATATTTCTTATGGCAGGGAATTGCTGCATTTTGCCCGAGTTGTAGCCAAACGACCTACTCTTCTACGATTTTCAACCACCAAGGGAACCTTAATGTGCGCAACATGCGCAAAGTGTGCAGGGGACCTCCAAAATTTTCGCCCTTTTCCGAGATGACTAGGTGCTCAATCTGACGTACCTTAAGATCAAAGGTGTGGAGGAAGAAGGAGATTGCGTGAGTGGACAAACACACGCGCACGGACACCTTCTATAGGTAGGTAAGATTGAGAACCTCGAATACACCACACATACGTAGCATCATCACCGTGATCTTGCTGGAACGCGATTTGCTTTCAACTGTCTCAAAAGACTTCTGTAGCTTTGTACATACAGTTGAGCAACTCACAGCATAGAAAAAAACCCCCTTGAAAATTCAGTATAAAAAACGGGAAAGGCGCCCAAACTACAAATACAGTAATCGCAAAGAGTCCGGCTGAAACAGAACAGCCAAAAGAAACGAGATATTTCTCATAAAAATACATTTAAAAAAAATCAAAATAAGTTTGATAAAAACACTGGAAAACAAGATACGACCGAATAACGGATATACATTAAGAGCTAATGATAATAAATCAAATAAATAACTCAACTAAAAATCAATGTGCTTATAGAATCGTGCAAAATCAAAACATACACCACAAACACCCGACGATCATTACACTAAGAACCTATCTTGCAAAAGTCACATGAACATAATTTCATTGCATTCGTGTTCATTCAACGGTTTGTTTGAAAGTCCGGCCCTTTCATAAGAGTCTATATATCCGATTGGACTCAGTCGGAGAAGGACTTCAAATTCGGAGTGGCCCCGCCTCCTGCAGTGTATAACCTTGAATGGTCTTGTGCGTCTAGACAGACAATCTTTAAGCAGTATGCGTGATACAGCTTAGCCTGGGCGGCAGACTTTAAGGAAGTAGACTGTCAAAGTACTTTTCTCCCTTCATATCTTGATTTCCTTTAAATGCTCCAAAAGAAAGACACGACTAATGCGTTAGGAATCAAGGGAGATGTGATAGGATATTTTAATGGTAAGGGATTTTTTAAAAAAGTTTTGAATGTTGCCAGGATCGCGACTTGAAAACCTACTCTTCTACGATTTTGAACCACCTAGGGATCTTTGCGCAACATAAACACGGCCGGGCCTTCCGAGAGGTTTCGTCCTTATCCAAGAAGAGCAAGTCCTAGATCCCTTAAACCTACCTTAAGATAAGGGGAGTAGGGAAGAAAGGGATTGAATCTGATCCTTAAAGTTTTCAAAAGCGGCGTTAACATCCACACAGTTATTGTACCTTTGGGGAAGATCTTCTGCAGGAATCCGGGTTTGGCTCTACCGCCGTCCAGCTGCCTAGCCTCGACCTCGTGCGGATTGCAGTGCGGCCCGTTGGTGCAGTCGGTGAAGTACATGAGCACAAACACGTCCAGCATGATCCACACCATGGAGGTGGCGATCACAACCTGGGGGAATATTTTTTTGTAAGAGTTTTACAGCACTTTCAACACAATAAGGTCATAACATAAGTACCGAAGAGTAGAGGTTTTACAAGAGAACAACAAACATAAAAATGAAGGAAAGATAAGGACGATAGATGTTTGTTGTTTTAGTACGGTTTTACGGCGCTCGCAACTGTATAAGGTCATATGAGCGCCATGACAGATGTTTGGTAGAAAATTAGAAGCAAACTACACAAGAGCACCCGCCAACTACACAGTAACATTCAGTTTGAGTTTGATTAACAGAGAAGCATGTCGATCATTTGGTGCGGAACAAAAACAAGACAGAAAGAAAGAAACAACAGAGGGAACGAAAAGAAGTAGGACCTACTACTGGCGCCCCCAAACCACCCGCTTCCTGTAACCTGGGGAACACGGCAACTTATATAACTTACAGTGGAGCCCGGCACCCTCCATCCACCCGTGAGTTCATTATTATTATTATTTAGTAGAGGTATTAGAACGTTTCACCATAGAGGTAAGAAATACATTTCAAGTCTTGGAAACACATTACTAAATCGGAAGAACTATGGAGGAAAATGAAAGACTCAATAATAGAAGCTGTGGAGGAAAATATCCTCCCGAAAGCTAAAAA